GCAAAAAAGAGTAATGTAATGAATGTGTATGTCTGTAAATAGGCATGATACAGTACAGCAGCGGTCCCCGACTTTTCTGGCTTGGCGGACTGGCAGAGGCGACAGCAGTGGGGGGGAGGGGATAATTTTGGACACGCATGACTTTCACAAATGCAGCTTTCCGTGCATGTGCGTGCACTCACACAACACTTCAACCGTTTTCAACAGCTGTGACCCGGCACCGGGCAGTGGACTGGGAGTTGGGGACCTCTGCAGTATAATACTAATGAAACTGGTTAAAGAGGGATGAGAATGAATCTGTGCATGAATAAATCTGTATACTCTATTTCCAATTTCTAAACAAAATTAGTAATTCAGTCTGAATAACATCTCAGTTTGAAAAACCAGAGTTTAGTTCAGCAACAGGCAACAACCATAATGAAAACAAGCCACCTATTTATGACAAAAGTTGCTATTTCTGCACAACCTATAAGAGAATTGGAAAAAGTCTGGCCAATGAATTTAAATATCTTTTAACATTCTGCACTGAGTACTTTTCCTATAGGAATAAAAAGTCCAATGTATTCGTTTCTCCATCCCAAATAAACACTCATTCTTACAGTATCTGGTTTATAAATTAAGTCTGAGTAAAAATATATGTGAGATTTAAATTTCTTGTTCTGTATTTAATGGTATAGTGAATGACATTCATGAATGACTTAAAAGTTACATACTGTTGAAGCGTGTCTAATAAAACTATTGGGGTCGGGAGATATATTGTGTAATTGATGATGTTGTTTTCTTGCTCTATGTCATTCGTATTCTTAATTTGTTTTGTTTGTTATTATTCATGCACTGTACTTTGTTTGTTTGTTATACTGTGAGCGCCCAGAGAGTCTGGAGTCAGATGTTGCCTAAATTGAATAAATTAAATTAAATTGTGCCTAGGAGTTAGGAGAGAGAGACAATAGAGGGCACACAATAGTTCCAACATGAGGAAAGAGTCAAAACACCATGCAAGAGTCATGCAAGAAGTACCAGCAGACACGGATGAAAACCAGGGAGCACTTGGGTGATAACAGAGACCTGGTAAAGTTGGAGACAGACCTGTTATACAGACAGCTTACCCTCAGCTTTACTGGTAGTACCATCTTTAAGCAAATTAAAAGAATAAGGAGAGTGATAAGAGGGAATAATTAGTAATATCAGCAAAAGTGGACAGGGTGTCTTTAGTATCACAAATGAGGGGAAAATCACATCAGTCAAACAAAGTAAAATAAATTAGTTAATAGTGCAGAACCACAAAAAATTTCCTTCCCCCATATTCTTGTTTTCATACAAGGTGCAATGCATTTCTGATGCATTTCTTCTGGAATTATATGCTACTTAGCATAACCTGTAAACTATAAATTAATTTTCATTCTTCTACTAATTTAGCAGATATTTCTTCACTACAGACCAAATTGTAACAGCAGCTCCAGTTGATTAAAAATGACCACATAATGCATTGTTAATATAAGCAGCTAACACAATCACTCCTTTTATTGTATTAATGCTGCTGCATACATTATTTAATGTTCAAGCATGAGTTAAGTCTGAACAAGAAACAAACAATTCCTAAATTAGTTGTGCTTTTCGTTTGTGCATTTTTCTCCACTAGGACCCATATATTTTGTTACCATGAATACAAATTTATGGAAACATTGGAGGAGTTGCTTAAGAAAATGCAGGTGTCGAAGCTTCCAATGTTATTGTGATATCAGAATAAAATATCACCCAGACATCTTACATACCTGAACACTGTGAAACAAAACTAGTCATTAGTGATATCTACAGGACATAAGGTTTTCATTAAAATGACAAAAGCAGCTTCATGTTATAAACGCTGCCCCTTTCATGTGTGCATGCAAGGTGACACTGCATGTCCAACAAAAATAGAACTTGAAACATGACAATGCTTTTGTTACTTGTCCCCCCATTTCCCCATGGATGCTTCTGCCAATCAGTCACAATTTTAAGCTTTAGAGGACTATCATCCATTTTTGTGATATCAAGGATCTATGTCTAAGTATAAAAAAAACAGCATTCTGGTAATTCTTTCAATTCTGATATCTGCTAATTGGAGTTCTGGTTATCATGAGATAGTGTAAGTAATTTCAAAATATCAAATAGGCAAAAGCTCAAATGTAGGACAAAGAAAATGGGCACAGTCAAGACTCAGTTTAGATTCCCAGGTCAGAAAGTTAAATATGGCCACTTCTATCAAAAAATTTGTAAAATTATAGTTTTTCACTGAAAAATCCCAACTTGCTTATATCTTTCTATCAATGAAAAAGGTTTCTCATACATTTTATTAGTAGAAACTCTCCCTTGGGAAAATATTTTTTTGTGGATTTTATCTGAATATCCCCCTAATCATATCTGTTCAGTTTCAGGTAGACAGCTGAGAATAGCTCCAAGGATAGAAGGTGGTTCTTCTGCCCAGGTGACGCTGAAATCAAAATGCTGGCTAAGTACAGAAACAAAATCTGTAGATGAGCCACTGGTGTTACTAATGTCATGTAGTACTTGAATTAACTAGAAAAGAAAGATCTAATACTAAGAAGGATGTTATCATAGCAGAACTGTAATTTCAGTTTCTTTTCTAATCAGATGATGAAAGTAAGTATCTACTGCAGGGGTGTCAAACTGCCAGCCCATGAGCCGGATGCGTCATGCCAAAACCGCACCCACCCCATTGCCGGCAATGGGGGAAAAGTTGTGATATGTCACGACACATCACGTGATGTCACGAGTTTGACACCCGTGATCTACTAGCTCTACAGAGACTAATATTGCAGGTTGATTGTTGACAAAACTGACCTTAGTATCTCTCTTTTGAAGCATCTCTGGTCTAGGTACTCCGTGAGATCTAGTGTAACCCTTATACCTCCATTTACTTTGAAAAATAAATTCCAGATTTGTGGAATTTCACACTTGTTCTTTTGCACTGATTTACAGAAGATGGTTGGTAGTCTTAAGAAAATCCTGATGCTTTGACCACTTAAAATGGTGGTGCTTCTTCCCTATCATATAAATGAATTCCGTACAGTAGCCTGTAGCTAATGTTTTCTTCTGACCTCTGGTTTTTTGGGAAGAGCACATTATTAGAAAATGGATTTACCCGAGGCCCTGAATATCTGGATCTGGTTACTCCTTGAGATCATCTGAACAGATTGGGGCAAAAGGACAATAACACCTGTAATTTTAAATTTATCCCTTCCTGAATTACGAAAGCCTTTTATTTTTTGTTTCTACTAAGACAGTATCAACAGTTTTCTTAAAGATATTCCCCTCCATTGGCTCCTGCAAGCATACTGACCAAAGGAACTTTTCTCCACAACTTTTTTAACTTGGCAGGAAGGAACACAGTTCGTTATCAAATTTATGATCCTTTTGGAAACCAGACTTAGCATTGTTGGGAACAGAAAGAGTAAGGCTTTGCTTCTCAGCTTTTTCTTGCTATGTATTAGCCAAATGAAATACCTTCTATGACTTGGCTGGAAAAAAAATTAAAAATGGAGAAAGTATAAAATCTTTATTATAAGTTTCCCTATCTCCAAAATCTTAGGATTAGAAGAGATTTTAAATTATTATGAAGAGCTCTGTCTAACATCATTTACCACTTTAAAAACCGCACTTGTAGCATTCATTTTTCTGGCCTTTTTTCTAAGAAAAATTCTCAGGGGAGAGGAAATTCGGGGATCTGTGAGAATTGGAAAGAGAATGAATTTGGAAGGGCCACAGGAACAACCCTGAGATTTGTAAACTCCTTTTGTGCTCTTGTTGGAATCAGAGCCACTTCCCTCTTTTCTTTTGCACTTTTTGACCAGGGATGGGAAAATGATATGAACCGACTCCATTTTCTGCTGCAGAACATTCAGGTCCTCTGAAATCTCTTAAGCTATTAATTCACTCCCCAAACATGACCCATTTTTGTTGGAAAATCGGGCCCTGGAGAAGATCAGTCTGGGAGGCAGGATAATTCTTCCCCTTAGAGTTGTTACTGAAGATTAGACTCTGCCTGTTTTCTCCACAAGAAGGCCTCATCCATAGAGGCAGGATATCACCTGAGGGTCTCAGAATTATCTATTTGTTCTGAAAAGAGCTTTGTATGGCATCTCAAACTTCATTAATCCTAAGATATAATTTTTCATGCTGGCATAACAAATATTTAGAAAATGCCTACAGTGGAAGAGGCTCCATTGCTACATACTGCAATGATCTCTCAAAGATCATAGTTCAAACATGTTGCCATTGATATAATAATCACCAATAATGAACAGCTTCTTACAAAAGTAGTTATTTCTTTTAACTAAATTAAGGCTTTGTTAACGTCAGACATGTCCAAGTCATTCTTAATAGAGATTGTTATCTATAAGGTGGCCATTAACAATAAGCAATACAAATAAGTTGTTGAGATATATTCCACTGAATCTATTTCCTTTTGGTAATACACATTTTTATTCTTGGATTAGACAGTGAGTTCAAATGAACTTTTTTCTGGAAATATCAGGATAGGATACTTCCCATTTTATACCTTCTGTGGTTTTTTAACAAAAGTTTACTTCAGACTACGATGTACTTGAATTATTAAAGAATTCTGAAGACTTGCTAGAGAATTCTAATAAACACCACCAAAAATACCTTTCCCTCAAAACTGATAAGTTACTTTAGAAAGTTTAGAAAGTAGTTTACTTCTCTAAAAAGTTAGTAAACATTGTATATATGTTCCACATACTATGCACCACCTGATGTCACATATGGAACAAAGCTTTCATTTTGAATTATTGTACTCGGTGACCCCGACCTCTGAGCCTTGTAAACTATGATTTATGATGCAGTGCAATATGTAGGCTTAGCCCCATTACTGCTTTTCACATTCCTCTGTAAAACTGAATTTCTTAAACCAAAATTTTCCTTCTACTTCTGATGTCCTGATTACCTGTGTATCTTTTTTGTGAAAAACAAGGTACACCTACCAAGAGATGCATATGAGCCTGGAGGAAGGGCTGCAGCAGAACTGAAGGGGGAATCTGAGCCAGAAGATGTTACTTTGGATTTGGCACTGGCTGCTGCATTCACATCAATGTCACTGCGAGAACGCTGGAGAGACCCTGAGGTTGACGCAGATTTCACACTAACTGCAGAAGCTTTAAGGAAGAAGAAAAACCAGTTATAGATAAATCTATCCCAAGAGTCTCCTACCATAATCTCTTCAGAATATTCTTTCAATTCCTTCTGAAAGAAGAGGAAATATTCTCAACTTATGTTTAAGCACATAAACATTTAAACTTAATAAAAATGTAATTTCAAAATAATAAATTCTGGTTAAGACTTGTAAATGCAATCAAAGGACTTTCCCAAATCCATCAGATTCCAACATCATCTTTCAACAACTTAGAAACTCACAACATCATAAATCCTCATTTTACCACTATAAAAATGTATTTTATTTGACAGACATACTATTTTAGAGCCCAAATAGACATTTTATACTTTTGTATAGCACAGTTCTTTCCCCACAGCACATTATGAATTTATGGCAGGGCAAGACTCTGACCTATTTCATGTACCATATTTTGCTTGATAGGGCTATGCTCAGCAAGTATTGGGATTTTTGATCTCTATTGGTTGCTATCAGATCCCCCTGGTGTTTATGATTAGTAATACCCAGAAAGCATTATGCAGGGATTAATACAACCATGCTGGACATGAGTTTTCTAATCAAATGTGGTGTTTATATCTTTAAATAACATTTTCCATCTCTCTCTCTCTCTCTCTCTCTCTCTCTCTCTCTCTCTCTCTCTCTCTCTCTGTGTGTGTGTGTATGTTTTTTTAATTTTTTTGGATTGCTAACAAAGAATTAAGGGAAACTGGAATAGCTATTTCGAGCTAATTAGCTCTCATCAGCCAGACATACCCTTCTGAGATTCGAACCTGGGCTGCTTGCACGTTAGGCAGCTGTGTTAACCTCTATGCCACAGGCTCTTTCTCACTTTGTCAGCTGTGTCAAGGAGGGAAGAAAATTATATATAATTTTGAGAATTCATTTACACCTTTCATATCTGAACTTAGAATTTGCTTTCAGTATTCTGTCCCCATCATCCATCATTACACACAAGAAATAAAGCAATTCATATTTTAATATTTCTTCCCAGCGGTTTATATTTAAAGCATTCAATCATCTTATATTTAGAACCATTCTGTCTTAGGCTTCTGGTGTTTAATTTATAAAAGTAACGTGCAAAACGAATATAGCAGTATGAGTAAGAATTCTGCCTCACATCTGACCATTTCTTCTCCTGGCTTCTCATTCTTACCTCGTGAAGTAGTGCTTCCGGTTGGGCTTCTTTTGGTAGACAATGGACGGCTAAAAAGGAATAGAATTAATGGATTTTGTTCCATAATGAATTTTATGTTAATTCTATATTAACTCATTTTTTATCAACACAGATGAATTATTCTATATTATTTGTATTTATACTTTACATTAATGCACTTTGAATTTTCCTACAAAAATGCTGTACAGAAACAAAAATAAGGAAGCAAAATCATTTTTAGACTCCATGTATTACCTAATTCATGAAAACAACAATTTCTAAAATGCAAAAACTCTAATTTATAGATGAGGAAGGGATACTTGAAGGTATTAAGTTCATCCAATAGCCATATATTAGTGGAAGGGAGGCTTACTTGAGACTCTCCTGGGAACTAGATGAGGAGCGATCTGACTGAGGCAAAGACACAATGCTATCAGAATTCTTCAAGTGAGACTGCAGGGCTTTCTGGTACGAGGATTCCAGTGAATTAAACAAATGTTCCGCTTCTCGGCTAAAATGGCTGTGGAAGCTCCAGTAACACCTGAAAATAAAAGTTTACATTGATCGATGAATAGTAAACTAGCATGTCAGATTCTAACCATCCAGAGAGCCTTAATAGATTTTAAGAAAAAAACTGGTAAACATAGCAGAGAAAATCAATTGTGATAACTGTATAATTACGACAAACCTATTAATTTTCACATATATTATTTATGCTTCCAAACGTTGTTTAAAAGAATTTAACATTTTGGTAGGAAAGTGACTGCAGAAACTGGAAAATAGACGTAGGGGTCTGTGCACTTCCTATTACAAAATAAATAAAGAAGTGAGCACATTACAAGCTTAAATAAGTTTCCACTTTATTTAAGTTATCAATATTTTGAACATAGAAATAGGTGGACTTCTCTTCTACATTAAATTAAACCACGTTCTAAATTCTAAAGTGGGAAGAGAATATCAACAACCCTGTAGAATGCAAAAGCCTGAACCTTCGGGGTACTAAGCAAAGAAAATGTTGAAATCAAGATTTTTCTTTCCAAATTCCAGCATTAATTTTCTGAACAAACAATATTAAACAGAGCCAAAACAGCAACTAGTTTTATTTGGCTTATGCAGAAAAAAGTTCCAATGAGTCTGATGAAAATTACTCTGAAGTACATCAGTAAAAAGGTTAGAATCATTATTAAGCATAACATGGTCCACTTCCTGAGTTCTTAATGGTCTAGTCCTATTCTTCCCTTGGAATATCAGTTACTGGAGAAATTTTCAGCTGAACAGCAAATAGAAGCCTCTAATTATTGATGGACTGAACAATTAAAAGAAAAAGATGCCCACTTACTTTCTGGCTTTTATCCGTGCTTCGGAGTCAGCATCATGGATTCCTTTCTTGATGGTTTCAGCCAATACTGATACATGCCTGAAATTAGAAGACATCACTATTTACCTTGTCAGAGGGAGGAGTGAAGAAACAGTCTTCCAGCATTACATTCGGAATTCAAAGGAAGTTTATCCAGTTGCCCAGAATTTGAAAGAACTGGATACACAGTATCCTTTTGGAAGGTGTGGGTGTTTGTTTGTACCAGTGAGCTTTATTGCATTTCATTCTCTTTTATAAGAAATACCAAGAAACATTCCTTGGAGGTCATTCCTTTGTATGTGAAAACCACAAAAGCATGGAGACACTAAAATACATTAAGATGCTGAAGCCATACAAGAATGTAATCAAGTGACTTTAAACCAAATGTTTGATCTATACAGAAGGGTTTCTGCAACACCAACTTGCTACGCTTATGTGGGTCAACAAAATATTCACATATTCCAATTTGAGGGCATTCTCTGTAACTACTTCCTTGCACCCTGAATGCCCTTGCCTTTTGCCTACACCAAGACAATCATTTTTTCCCCCAGTGGCTAGGGTAATATCTCTCAAAGTTTAAATAGAAAGGTAAGACAAACATTCTGGAAGGCAAGGAGAGATGTGCGATTAGTCATGAACTACGGCGGCCGACGCAGCTAAACCCGCTCCTAGCTTACGGGGATTCTGTCGATGGAATAGTCTCAGCAAACGGGGGGCTTTTATGTCCACTTCCCCCATCCATGACGCATCCGTGACAGGGTACCCCTTCCACCGTACCAGGTACTACAAGCTATCCCGGTGGATTCGGGAGTCTAGCATCTCGTGGATCTCGTAATGGCCCCCTGCGACAGGTCCTGGTGTCTGCCTGAGGGACCGAAAAGAGGGTCCCTTCCATCAGCTTCAGTAAACTGCAGTGGTGCACCTTCCCCCAAAGACGGGGTAGCTATAGCCTCACAGCAACTGGGTTAATGACCTGTACAATCCAAAACGGACCTATGAACTTTGGCCCTAGCTTTTTCAAGGGTATTTTCAGGGGCAGGTATTTGGTCGACAGCTATACCATATCTCCCACTCGAAAGGGCTTTTGAGGCGCCCGTTTCTTATCGGCCTGAGCCTTATAGGCCTCTGCTGCTTTTTGTAGTACTCTTTTTACGATTTCCCAGACCTCCCATATGCGGTCTATCCAGTCCTGGGGTTGGCAGGGGGAAAGGTCCCCGAGGGCACTCAGGACAAACTCCACCCCATGAACCACCAGGAAAGGGGCGAATCCGGTGCTGCTATGGACTGCGTTGTTATATGCCACCTCAGCAAACAGTAACAGGTCAACCCAGTCCATCTGTTGGTAGGATACGTAACACCACAGGTACCATTCTACCATTGCATTGGCCCGTTCGGCCGCCCCATTGGTGCTGGGATGGAGAGCTGAGCTGAGTCCCTGGGACGATCCGATGGAGCGGACAAACTCCCTCCCAAAGTGTGCGGTGAACTGCACTACCCGGTCCAATATTATTCGTCGGGGCATCCCATGCAGGTGGTACACCTGTGTGATGAACATTTTGGCCAACTTCCGAGCAGACGGCAACCCTTTGCATGGAACGAAATAGGCCTGCTTGGAAAATAGATCGACCACTGCCCATATGACTGTGCATCCATGGCTCTCTGGTAATTCCATGGTGACGTCCATGGCTATGTCCTCCCATGGCTGGGTCAGGTCCGCCACGTGTTGCAACAACCCAGGTGACCTCCCATACAAGGCTTTGTGGTAGCACACACGGGGTAGTCCCATACGTATGTTTCTATGTCTGCCTTCATCCGAGGCCACCAGAATTGGCACCTCGTCAGGTGCAGGGTTTTGAGGAACTCAAAGTGACCAGCCTGTTTAACGTCATGGCACTTCCGTAGCATCTTAGGCCTTAATGCCTATGGGACGTAGAACCTGTTACCCTTCCACACCAACCACTCCCTCTGAGTTAGGAGGGCCTGATGTCCCAGAAGCCAGGGGTCACCTTATTTATTTATTTATTTATTAAATTTATATACCGCCCTATCTCCCTTGCGGGACTTAGAGCGGTGAACAGGCGATACTAAAAACCACGATAATAAATAATAATTGGCTAGCTCTGTGCAGCTCCTGGACCAGGTCATCCGCCAGTTTGCGTGCAGCCACCTGAGCGGCCGACTGCTTGAAGGGAGGCATAATGGCCTTCAAGAGCAGCTTACTAAAATCCATGAAGACAAAAAAGTGCCTGCCCACAGGCTGCAAGCTCAAATGTGACCCAAATGAAGGGTGAAAGAAGGCTGAAACAAAGCAATCAAAATGGAAGCACTAATTGTGCAAGTCACATAGCAGTTCTTATATGGAACAGTTGGGATGGAAACAGTTCAGACACTAGACAGGCAAAAGAAGCTGTTTTTCTCCCCCCCCCCCCCCCCAGTAAAGCCAGACCTGTCTCTATTTATTACTCTGTTGGAGTCAGAGGGAATGTCTGTCCGCTGTTCCAAGGCTAGGCAAGAAAGGAGCCACATTAAACTTATATTCCAAATCTCCTCAATTCCATTCAACAGAATCTCCCCTCCCCTCAAATACAGCCATAGAAGCAACATGTCACATATCATAATGTTCATATCTTACCTTTCCAGGGAGTGTGTCTGCCATTCCTGCAAAAGTAAATCTAAAAATTCAAAACACCGTCTGGGAGAGAAAAAAAGGTAATTTTCATTCATATTGCTCCAGAGACTAATGGCAAGTAGTTAGATATGAAACAACGATTTCAAAAGTATTCTGAGGAATCCTGTATTCAGGCTACTAAATAAAAACTTTAAAGAAAATCATGTGCTTCTAGTCAGGGTGTAGGACATTGGCATGAGCAGAGGGGGGAGAGTTTGTCAGAAATGTTCAAAGGATGGTTGTGACTATGCAACTGAGGCACCGCTCTTTTTTACGTACGCCACATGACAAACATAAAAGGGATGAGGCTTCAACTATGCCGTCACGGCCATCATTTCATTTTATTTTTTCTTAATACCAATGCCCGCCAGCCCCCTCAGGGTTTTGCTGTAGTCAGGAACTGCAGTATTCTATGTGCCAGCATTGTACAGGTAGTTCCAACTTGTGTCAGACTTGGGACCAGAATTTTCATTGCTGAGCATTGTGGCCATCAAGTATGACCACCTCATTTAATGATAGCAATCCTTGCAATCACGACTGTCATCCTAACCACATCCCATGGCATTAGGCGAGGCAACTTCCAGGCCAGCAGGCAGCTAAGTGGCTGCTCCTGGTGGGAGTGGGAGAAAGGAGTGCAGGGGTAGGGGACGGGTGCTAGGAGTACGTAAGAGATGCAGCATGGGTTGGAGAAGATGAGTGACGGCAGAAGGGAGGTTTGATGAGGGTCAGGGAGGGTGTAGAGGGGTGCACAAGTGGCCAATGCAAGATAAACAGAGGGGCTGGGAGAAGAGTGAAGTTGGGAAAAACTTACTCTGGTGACTTGCTATCTTCTCTGCCAGCTTTTTCACTAACTTTCTGGGGAAGTGTGTGTGGGGGGGAAATTGCAAATGGCAATCACATAATTGTGGGGCACTGCAGCTGGTTGTCAAGTGTCCAGATTGCAATCACGTGACTGCAGGGGCTCTGGGATAGCTGGAACTCCAAGGCTGGTCATAACCACTATTTATTCAGCTCCACTGTAATTTCAGGAACTAAATGAATGGAAGGAATAAAGGAATGCCTGTATTAAATTATTGTCTTAACTGCAGAATCTTTGTAATCATTCAGGCATCTTTTTTTTAATCTTGTTATTCTTTTTTAACCTTCATTACTTTCCAGTATTCCAGCAGGATTTTTTTCCCTTTGTAACTTCTATTTAGTCACAACTCAAGATTTCTCAAGAGGTAATCACAATTGATCATGGTTACTGCTCAATAATTTATTATGCAGTCATTTACTAAAAGGCCAATGAGGATTGAATTCCTTTCTCCACAAATAATTTAGCTTGTCTGTTAGTAAATTTTATATTTAAGTACCCGTATATACTCGAGTATAAGCCGACCCGAATATAAGCCGAGGCACCTAATTTTACCACAAAGAACTGGGAAAAAATATTGACTCGAGTATAAGTCTAGGGTGGGAAATGAGGCAGCTACTGGTAAATGTAAAAAATGAAGATAGATACCAATAAAATTACATGAATATTTATTTCAAAGAAAAACAATAACCTAGCTCTGTAAGTGGAAAAGGGGGTCAACAAAAACAATATGGTATCAAAAATACCGTAACTTTAAAAGTGGCAAGAAAGATCGTAAAATGAAGCAAAACTCNTTCATTATTTTTAATTTTTGTCAGAGGGTGGACATGTGGTTATCCTGAACAGGTTTAAGGTTCATTTACAGTTTACCCAAGGTAGATTTCTAACATAAAGACTATTTGCTGTGCAAATTACCATATACTTTGCACATGCACACACAAAGCACAAAGATTGCGAATCTACCTGCCTTTTGAAAACAGATCTCCCCCCCCCAAAAAAAAGGACATGAAAGAAAACTTGGAAATAATACCCTTTTGGTGCTTCCCATCTGTCCAATTCCCCCAGATTAGATTAGATTAGATCAGCGGGTGTGGAAGCCAGTCTAAGGTTCCCACTGGGGGGAACTGCAGATTGGTATTGATTTCTCAATCCAGGTGCAGAAAGTCACGCCTCCCTCAAACATCTGTCTTCCGAAAGGCAGGCAGGCAAAGTGGGAAGGGCTGCTTGTGGTGAGCTAAAGGTTGACTTCAGATATGATAAAAATTCCCTTTGCAAATCGGTGAGAAACTCCACCTCACGTGGGTTTTATATGTAAATATACATTCCAGTATTTCTCCGCAGCCCTTTTTTTTTTTTAAGGAATAAACACCAAGAAAAATGGCCCTCGGCAAAACGAAGCGCAGAAGCCCGAATCTGCCTCAGATTCACCTAAACCCATTTTGTGTAGGCGTTACTTTCCAGCAGGTATAATTTTTGAGTACAAGTTAGGCACTTAACTCAGGTTGCGAACGGCTGGAAAAAACAGGAATCCGTTCCGCCGAGACCAACCCCCGGCTCTCGGTCCCGGCCCACCCACGGGTATCCAGCCGAGGAGCGGCGGTGGAGAGCTGCACGGGCGGGAGAGAGACGTGGGAACCGGTCCTGCCGAGAGAGCGCCGCGTCCCGCTGTCCCCGACACGTAACTGGCGAGGGAGGGAGCGGCGCTCCGGAGTTGGCAGCCAGTTGTTTGTGGCTGATCTCATCCGGGATTTGCATAACCCCCTTTTTCGCGGAGCTGGCGAGGCGGGGACTAGCTTGCCAGTGGCCGGGAGGCGGCGAATGCGGAGCCGGGGATGCCTCCCCGCCTCTCTTCCCTCCTTTCCTTTCCCTTTCTCTCTTTCTCTCTCTCTCCTGCTCCCTCTTTCTTTTTCTTTTCTCTCTCTCCTGCTTTTTCCTTTTCTTTTTTTTCTTTTTCTCTCTCTTGCCCCCTTTCCTTCTTTTCTCTCTCCTGCTTTTTCTTTCTTTCTTTTTCTTTCTTTCTTTCTCTCTTTCCTCTCCCTCCCACTTTCTTTCTCTTTCTTTCTTTTTCTTCTTTCGTTTCTCTCTCCCGCTCTCCCTTTCTTTTTTCTTTCTTCTCTCTCTCTCTCTCTCTCTTTCCCCCGCGGCCCACCGCTCTGAAATTAACTTGCGAGTTCCTGCTCAGCTGTCGACCGGTGTTATCAGCTCCCCCGAGAGGCCTCTGGCTCGGGGGGCGCCGGGTGTGCCTGGAAAGGCAGGAGGGGGGAACCGAGCGGCGGCCACGCGGGATCTAAAAATCAAGTTGTGCCGCTCCAAAACTCGGACAGGTCTCCTTCCGGCTTTCCCGGGACCCTGCCTGGCTCTCTCCCGGGGCTTCCTTGTGAGACGTGGAGATCGCGTTTATCTTTCTTAGATTTCCCACACAATCTGGCTCAGCAAAAGAGACGAGGGCCCTCCACGACTTGGATTCCCCCCCCGCCTCCCCCCCGACTAAAGGGAATGGATAGAGAACGCCTAATTTAATTTTTGGATATAGATTAAGCCGGTGTCAACTTTTAGTGATTGCATAGATTTCCCCCCCCCCAAAAGGGGCGTTGTCTTACCTGAACGCCTTTTCTCAGCACGGAGATGGAGGATCCACAGAATGGGTGGAGACTGTATTCCTGCCCAATCAGATCAAGTCAGCCAAAGTTGTCACGCCCCGTCCTGGCTCCATTTCCCAGTCTTGACGCGAGCGTAGCCATTGACTGACCAAGAACGTACTGGCTCACAAACTAATCCTAGTCACTAGGACCCCCCAGAAATTGAGGGAGGGATGTGGATCCTCCATCTCCGTGCTGAGAAAAGGCGTTCAGGTAAGACAACGCCCCTTCTCCAGCACTGGAGATGGAGGATCCACAGAATGGGACCNGTGTGGAGTGAGCAGTTACTCGTTGAGGAACCGGCAATGACTCCGCTTGGTAAGCTCCTGCGATGCAGGCCCTAATCCACCTGCCTATCGTGGAAGAGGAGACCTTCCGACCCTTGGAGGAAGGGTGGAAGGATACAAACAGGGCCTCTGACTTGCGGAAATCCGCTGTCCGTGAAATATAATAACGGAGCGCCCTGCGGAGATCCAAGCAATGCCATTGTCGTTCCTGGCTACCCGAAGGGTTAGGGCAAAAATCCGGGAGGACAATCTCTTGGGACCTATGGAAAAGTGAATTCACTTTCGGAACAAAAGTGGGATCAAGGCGAAATACCACTCTGTCTGAATGGAACATGCAAAGATCCTTGCGGACCGAAAGAGCAGCTAGCTCAGAGATTCTTCGAGCTGATGTAATGGCCACTAAGAAAGCCACTTTGTGGGTCAAGTGTGACAGGTCGCATGACGCCAAGGGCTCGAAAGGTGGCTTCATCAGGGCCCGGAGAACACGAGGCAGTTCCCAAGAGGGGTACCTATGTACAGTAGGTGGTCGGGATTTGGCTGCTCCTTTAAGGAAAGAGCGAATCAGCGGGTGGTGTCCTAGGGAGCCTACTGATTCGCAAGTGAGAACAGTAGAAAGAGCCGCTACCTGCCTGCGCAAAGTATTAGGGGCCAGTCCCCTCTCCAGGCCGTCCAGCATAAATTCCAGAATATGGGGAATATTGAGTTGTGAGAGTGACAAGTGACGTCTGGAAACCCAAGCACAAAAGTTTTTCCACGTGGCCTTGTAAATGCGGTTCGTGGAAGGGCGACGGGAAGCCTGGATTACTTCAATTACCTTCTCAGAGCAAGACTGTTGTGACAAGTAAGAGCGCTCAAGTGCCAAACGGCTAACTGGAGCCACTGGGGATCCGGATGGGTGATCATCCCCTGGCTGAGCGATATTCTGTCCGGGGGAATTCGCCATGGTTCCGAGATGGAGAGACTCACCAGGTCGGCGAACCAGGGTCTCCGTGGCCAATAAGGAGCTACCAACAGAATCTCCGCTTCCTCCCGGAGCAGCTTGTGTACCACCGCCGGGAGGAGAGGGAGAGGGGGGAATGCATAAAGCAGACCCCTGGGCCAAACCTTGCGGAGC